AAAAAAAATAAAGAGAGAAAGAAAGAAAGAAAGAAAGTAAGAAAGGAAGAAAGAAAATGCTAATTTGAGAAGATATATGCACCCCTATGTTCACTGCAGTGTTATTCACAAAACCCAAGAAAAGGAAACAATCGAAATGCCCATCAGTGGATGAATGAATAAAGAAAATGTGATACACACACACACACACACACACACACACACACACACACACAAGACTCCTATTCTGCCATACAGAAGAATGAAATCCTGATATTTGTGACAACACAGATGGGCCTTTAAGGTGAAGTCAGTCAAAGAAAGACAAATACTGTATGATCTCCCTTATCTATGAAATCTAAAAACAAACAAAATAAGCTACAGAGAACAGACTGGTTGCTGCGAGAGGCAGGAGGGTGGGGAGTAGGCCAAACAGATGAAAGGAGTCAAGAGGAAGAAATTTCCAGTTATAAAATAAGTACATCCTAGGGACATCATGTACATGGTCACTCCAGTTAATAATACTATATTACACCTGTGAAAGTTAACGAAGACAGGAGAACTCAAAGTTCTCATGACAAGAAAAAACAACCTGTAACTATATGCACCGACCAACGTTAATTAAAACTGTGGTCATTCCGCAATATCTCTAAACATCAAATCATTACAAGCTTGTATGTCAATTACATTCCAATACTACTACTACTAATAATAATAATAATTCTGGATGCAGTCAAAAATGCTATGTAATCAAACTATTCTATCCCTGGCCTCCTTTGGAGACCTACTTCATACACCCCTCCATCCCCCTGTTCTAGTGTGCAATGGGTGTTCTCTTGACCTGCCACACAGCTGTCACCCTGAAATGTTACCCTGGAGCATCCCTTCATCAGCGTCCTGGGATCTGCCTTTTGTATGCTCCTGTTTGAGTCCCCTGTTTCTTCAATACTGTTATCATTCTCTTTCTTACTTTACTCCCTTGTTTTACTGGAGCATATCCTGAAGCAGCTTCCTGAAAACAGATGCAGGGAAGGTACACCGGTGGAGAATCTACTTAAATGTAATATATTTACCTGTCCTGAGATTTTACATTTTTACATATTTTTTAATTTGAAGATCATGGGTGTCTGGGTGGATCAGGTGGTTAAGTATCTGACTCTTGATTTCGGCTCAGGTCATGATCTCAAGGTCCAAAGACTGAGACCCACTTTGGGGCCTGTGCTCAGGGGGGGTCTGCTTGAGCGTTCTCTCCCTCTTCCTCTTTTCCTCCCCTCTACCCCTGCTGACGTGGACTCTCTCTCTCTCTCTCTCTCTCTCTCAATAAATAAATAAATAGTCTTTAAATAAATTAATTAAATAAAACAAAACCTGAGGATTTCACTAGCTTTATTAAACGACTCACAAATCAGGCAGCATGCCAGCTAGAAAACAGAGGGGTGCTCTGAGGAGCCGCACACACAGATTGACATTTAGTGATGTGGGTTTAATTCCTCTTTTCTTTCATCCCGTAGACACGGGGTGGGACCCCCCAACCTGAAAGCTCATGTCCTACAGTCCTGGGAAATCACGCTCCATCACGGTCTCGTGAGTTCTGCTCTCCGTGTTCTCTGGTCCCTTCCCCAGATCCCTGTTAGTTATGCTGAATGTGCTGAACTGATCCACTGCTTTAATTTTTCTCTCCGACTTTTCGTTTTTTGATCTGTTGGAGGTTTTCTCAATGCTATCTTCCACTCCTCTGTCGACTTAGTCCTAGCTTATTTGTAACTCCCAGGGCTGCTTTTTGTATCCTCGGATTATTACTTTGCCATAGCACTGGGCTCCTGTTTAGTGAATAAAACAAGACAGTCCATGATCTAACTAATTATAGTTCGAAAGTTTATAGTGTCTTCCTCCTCAAATGCCTTTTCTACTGTTGTCACAGTCGTTGTTGTTGTTGTTGTTTTTAAAGAGTTTATTTATTTATTTGAGAGAGAGAGAGACACAGCGAGAGAGGGAGCACAAGCAGGAGGAGTGGAGACAGAAGCAGGCTTCCTGCTGAGCAAAGAGCCCGATGCTGGGGTTCGGTCCCAGGACCCCCGGGATCATGACCTGAGCCGAAGGCAGACGCTTAACCCACTGAGCCACCCAGGCACCCCCAGTTGTAGCTGTTGTTAAGGACTTTTGTAACCGAGACTCTGCTGCGATGTCCAGGGATCCTGGCTCGTCTTTCTTATTTTGGAGTGAGACAGCTGTGTGGGGACAAACGGAGTCTTACAACAGGCACACCCCACTAACAGTGAGCAGAGCTCAGACATTTGGGGAGGGGCCAATCATCCTGTCTATCGGCCCTTTCTTAGGCTGGTTGCTTCAAGAGTACATTCTCCCAAGTACTGATTTACGAGGGTGCGCAGCCCTGGAGGGGTAACAACGTTGAGGGTATCCCCAGATGACACGCAATCTGACCATCTGTTCTAGGCTACGTCTTATGAACTGAAGCCCAAAGTTTACCTTTTCCGGAGAGTCAATCGCCCATATTCTGCCAAGGAAAGAATGTGGGGGTACAGCTGCAGTCCTCTTCAAATCTACTTCTCAGCCATCAGAAGTACCCAGAACCTCCAATGCCCAGATCTCTGGGGCTCTGGGGTGTGACTAGGCTGGATTCCTCATCTCTCCCCACCACAGGCAGGAGGTTGGGTCCCAGCCTCATCTGGTTTGCTCTCAGTTACCATCCGTCTCTCCTCTTTCCATCTCCCAAAATTTTGCGGGTGTTCTTTGCCAGCAGTCAGCCCCTAACCTGCCCGGTCATCCCTTACAGGTTAGCTCTCCCGTTCTTTACTACCATCTTAGTACAGTTCCAGGATGGGCCATACAAGTGCGGGGTTCAAGACACCATGCTAATTTACGGAACACACTGCACTACGCACCGCCAACCCCTAATACACCATGTTTTTATTTACCCCCAGCTCCGCTCCTGCTGTTCCCCTGCCTGGTCCATCCCTATCCTCCGCCTTTTGCTCATTTTGCAACCCCTAATGACCCTTCGAGATCAGGCTCAGCCATCATCTCATGCGGGAAGCTTCCCCGATCCTCCCCCACGGGCTGTATAAACCTATGGCTTGACACACACCACACAGAGCTCAGTGAGCTGACTCACCCTGCCCAAACATCTCCCTCCCTCCCTGGATAAGAAGTAGGCAAGGACTGTGTCTTTTCCAGTGTCCGGCCTCCTGTGTGGGGAACCACCCGGCATACAACAGGTGCTCCTCATCTGTGTCCGGCTGACCTACTTCCAGTAAGCTCCATGTTGGAAACATTGTCATTCTCAAAGGCAGGCAACCAAAATATGGCTCTGTGTATTTGCCAACGTCCAAATAAGAAAGGCTAATCAGAGAGCACCGGGAAATGAAAACAGCCAGATGTGTTTGCGAGCAGAAGTCCAGGAGCACAAAACCCCTTCCAACAGGGGTGACGTGTGTTTTCCCGGCGATTCAAGATGAATATATGTTTATTAGGCAGAGAGAGATTTAGCGGGTTTCTCAGCTAATGCTGCAATTTTAAATCCATTTAAGATAATTTTCTTTATCTTGAATCTATTTTTCTCAGTAACCAGGATATGTAACTGATTTGTCTGAAACCCATTTGAAAAAGGAATAATCCAGCCTAACCTCGGACACACTCTTCACGGGAAGGAAAGAGACACGACAACTCTAAATGAAGACGAAGGACCCCGTGAAGTCAACATGGTCACCGGCCCAGAAGACGGGTTTCCCTCCAGCATCTTGATTCTATGGCCGATCTCTCTTCTCCACTTCCCAAGGAGAAAACAAATAATTCTTAAATCTGAGCCCACAGAACAAAGGCCTTTCGTGAGGCAACCAAGATGCAAACAAACTGATTAAAAGAGAAAACTCTCAAGGCAGGGAGGGGAGGTTGGGTGAGCCTGGTGGTGGGTATGAAGGACGGCACGTGTTGCATGGACAATGAATTCTGGAACACTGAAAAGAAATTTAAAAAATAAAAAATAAATAAATGTATAAAAAAGATAAGACTCTCCAATAGAACAGTGGACGTTGAAACAACCACGGAATGCACTTTCTCACCCACCAGCGTGACAAAGCGTTTTTGAAACGGCAGGACCCAGTTTGCAAAGGGTCAGGTAAGATTCCCACAAGAGTATAGACGGCCACCAGCTTTCTGGAGGACAGTACCCCAACATCAATCTAGAGCTTCCAGAAGTACCCGTGCGATACAGCCTGGGGATATTATACTTTCAGAAGATAAATACCAATTCACTACAGACAAGGACGTGAGTGGGAAGATACTCATCAAACGGTTATTTATAATAACGACAAACTGACAATACCCTAAATTTCCGACAACGGAAAAAATGATGCAAAATGGTCATAATGATGATCGTCGTTAATCATAATTAATGACATCAGCAAGCGCTCACGAAATAATATTAAACGAGAAGAGGGTACAAACAATGCATCACATGCTCATAATCTGTACAGAAAATTGACTCAAACACAAGATGCTAAGATTTGACTGACTGCCGTCTCTAGGTAACGAGATCATGGCGAGTTTTGTGTTTTACTGAGGACTTTTTGTACGGGGGACCTTCCTGTGAGTTTCTGGGTTACTTTTTAAAAATGTCAAGACTTCAGGGGTGTCTGGGTGGCTCAGTGGGTTGAGCCTCTGCCTTTGGCTCAGGTCATGATCTCAGGGTCCTGGGATCAAGTCTCGCATCGGGCTCTCTGCTCAGCGGGGAGCCTGCTTCCCCCCCCACCCCGTGCCTGCCTCTCTGCCTACTTGTGATCTCTCTCTGCCAAATAAATAAATAAAATCTTTTAAAAAAATGTCAAGACTTCATTTAGATAATATTTCATAATCCACAGGACTCGGTTGTGGACTATGCAGGAGACAGAGGAAGACAGAAGCCCTCTGCTAGTGACAAAGGACATGAGAACATGTCGCAGACTCGGGTCCCCGCCCATCCTGGGACACAGCCAGCCACTCTGAATGACTGAATCACAACTTACTTGGTAGGACGGTAATCCGGAATGGAACGATCCAGTGAAATTTTCTCACTGAGGTAGGAATTGTAGCCATACTTCTCGTGAGGTCCCTTGGCTTTCTCTTCTTCAGCGGGGGAAAGGGTAGCAGGAAGGCCCCCCTTGCCCCGCCCGCCATAGCCTTCAATGAGCCCAAGGGATTTGGATAAGCCTAGAAAAAGGAAGGAAAGACAATTATTGGAAAGCCACCACATCAGGGCATGTCACTCAAACTCAGACACACGCCTTGATGGCAAGTCTCACATGACCTGTCAGGGCTGATTACTTCTCTAACAGACCAACCCAGGAGTATGGCCCGAACGCATTCGTATCATTGAGAGGAAGGTCAGGGCAACAGAGAGTTCTGGGGCTATGTATAGCCCAGGCGGGAGCCTCTGCGTCCTCTGCGGAATGGAGTGGACGGAGTCTACAAAACAGAGAGACTCTACGCTGGGAAAAAGGCAGACCAAGAAGGACACAAGCAATGGGACAGACGAGGGGCTCCCGGCCGGGCCTGTTTTCCTTTCTCCGTGGGGCAGTGATGACCAGCCTCGGTACTCCGCGAGCTACAGGCACGACCCAGAAAAAGAACAGCCATTGAGGGGAACAGCCAAGCCAAGGTGCTCTGGCTTCATCTGGACAGAGGACGACACACAGATTGATTTTATCATGAGTTTAAAGTGCGTAACAACCTGATACATTTCTTTACCTAACGGTTTTATTTACATTTCATCTAAATGGCAAAAGGAAATATAGAATGTTTCAGAACACATCACAGAGGCGGGGAAAACCCCGCAAGGATGATAACCACACCAAGCGGAGGGGGACGCCTCTGTAACTGGCCGCGCTGAGCAACTGCCTGTCCCTGGGACGGTGGCAGCTTTACACCCACTGTCCCATCACACGATAAACAGCTTGATGGGCAATTGTGAAATCCAGGAGTTACGGCAGGTTTTACCTCTCAGCTAGGAAACGTCAGTTTTAAGGGCTCTCACTCCCTCCCGCCATCACGAAGGCTCAGGCTACTCAGCATAGCTGTGGGCATACACACACACACACACACACACATGCGCGCGCGTGCGCACGCACATGCACACACAGGTGCACACATACACTTACACATGCACACACAGGTGCACACACGCGCACATGCACACAGAGGTGCACACACACATGTGCGTGCGCAAACACACGTGCACATGCACACACAGGTGCACATGTGCACACAGGTGCACGCACACAGGCGCGCGTACGCACACATGTGCACGCACAGGTACACATGCGCGCACCACACTTCATCCAAAGAAGTCCCACTCCTGCTCCCGGCAGGACGTACACGGAGCAGAGATGTAAACCGTGCCCTCTGCTCTCACAAGGGGCAGCCCAGAGCACTGAGGACAATTCGAACCTCCCAGAAAGGCACCCAGCAAATCCGTCAGAGGCCAATGAATCTGCTCCCGTCACAGAATGGCGCTCTGTCACACAGTGGCAAGACATGCCTGCTTCTCTGAAAACAGAAATGCGCCTTCTGTGATATCAAGATCAAAAAGCGAAGGTCCAGCAAGCGGCTCAGAGTTGGCCACAGGTGAACATCATTTTCCTACCAGAGAATCATTCCCACTGGCCGCTGGGAGCTTCAGGAGCCCTGACCTCTATCCTGCCGGCCGTGATCCCGACAGAGCACCTCGGCTGGGCTGTCAGATCATTCCAGCACTGCCCACTTGCTTCCCGGGCTCTGAGTTCCCATTCCACGTCAATGTGCCACCAGCATCCCAGTAACACCGCCTTCACCGTGCTCACAAATCGGTAAGAACGCTTCCCAGTCCAGTGCAAACACCTGCACTGGGTGCTGAAACCACTTGTCATCAGACATTCCCAGTAGGAACGTAATACAGGGCAGTGACTTTGGAAAACAGTTCGGTAGCTCTTCAAAATGCCAAGTGTCGTTTTACCACATGACCCAGCAACTTCACTCCCGGGCGGACTCCCAAGACAAGTGAAAGTTCTGCCCACACAGAACCTTGGACAGAAACGTCCGTAGGAGCATTATTTGTATTAGCTGAGCGTCTGTCAACTGATGAATCCATAAACAGAATGTAAAAACATACTGTGGGACATTATTTAGCAAAATAAAAAGGGAAGAAGTAGTGATATACACCAGGACGTGGTGAACCTTGAAAACATGATGCCAAGCACACAGCGCTGGTCAGAAAAGACCACATACTGCACAATTCGATCTATATGAGACGTACACGATAGGCACATTTCCGGAGACAGAAAGTAGGTCAGTGTCTGTTTCGGGCTGAGGGGACTGGGGCAGGACATGGGGAGTGACTGCTGGTGTGTATGGGGTGCCTTTTTGGATAGTGACGATGTCCTGGAGTTAGACTGCGGTGATATGTGCAGAAACCTGGGAATATACTAAAGAGGAAAGTGTTTTAAGTTCTTGTAAAATCAGAACAATGCAGTCCTAGAATACAATTCTTAGTACCATTTTTCATGAAGGAAGAAACCCACCAAGGCCAAAGTCATCATGTGGCCCTTATTCCCTTGAGGTTAGACTTTTACCGGGGACACATGCCTGCAGCACAGAGAAGGAAAGAACGAAGTCTGAGACAGGACCTACACATTCCACCTGGAAGATGGGCTGCCCCGGGACGGACCGCAGATGCCAGCGGCAATGACAGCCGCCACTCACAGAAGAGCGTTCCTGAACGCCGGGGACCCTGCTGGCTGCTTTACACGATGTATGCTATTGTTCTATCGACTCTCCTGCCAAACCTCATGAGGAAGACATTATTTTGATCTCTGCCAAATGAGGACACTGGCCTGAGAATGTAGTAACTTTGTCAAAGCTCCACGGCTGGTAAAGGAAGACTGACCGGGATTCCGAGTATAGTTAGAGACACAAAGGAGGACAAAACCTCACTTCTGTGACAACTGAGAAGACCAATTCCAGGGTTCCTGCAGCAGCCGCCAAGAGAGGACACGGGCCTCATTTTAAGGCAGTGGTGAGACTGACCGAAAGGAGAGGAGAGACTGGAGAAGTATTTAAGAGACACTGTCACAAGGCAGAGACAGACAAGTGTTCGGGTGGGAGAGAAGGAAGCCGTAAGCGAGCCTGGCTCCCAGCGTGAGGACCAGCTGGGGACACCAGCCCCAGAGACGGCACATTCAGAAGTGAGTTTGATACGTGAGTTAGACCACCACTCTGCACAGGTGGTCTGTCAAAAACACCCATGGGACATTCTGACAGAGTCGGAGGTCTAGTGCGAAGCTGAAACACGTGGGAATAGAAGTTAAGATGGAGGACAAAGCTCAGGAGACAAGCCAGAAAGCCAGAGCCTGGCAGGGGCTGCAGCCATGATGGAAGCAGGGGTGCTGGGCTGGGGGCAGGGGTCGAGCAGCAAAAAGGAGAAAGACAGATGATGCTCCGGAATTTCAACGTATTTAGAGCAGGAATTGCATCCTCTGAAACTCAGATCTTCTCCACAGGCTCTCCCACTGAAGCTACCCTTGAACCCAAGACTTCAAGGATCAGAGAAATAGCTCAGTGTGAACCAAGTGGTTAAGCTTCTCGCTTGTCCTCATAGATCCATTCAACCGCCCTCTCTCCACCTGCTAATGATCACTGCTTAGGCCTTAATTTCTCTAATGGTTTTATATCCATTTATGTATTAAACTGGCAAGGTTGATGTTACCAGGATCACTTTAGAGATAACGAAATGGGGAGGCTCAGGAGGCTTAATTACGTGACTTTCCAAAAGTAACAGAAATGGAAGATGTTCCCCCCCGCCCCAGCCTCCGACACACAAACAAATGTTCAATCCAGGAAGTTCTTTAGGAATTTTCGGTGATGACAGTGGTAAGTTGATGGTAGTGAACTCATTAAGAGGATACCATGCAGCAATGAAAATGGTTAGCTTGCCAGGAAACAGATGACTCTGCAAGACATGCTGGCAGGGGGAAAGCAAGCATTAATGCGTATAATGCCATTTATACAAAGTCTCAAAGGCTAATCAAAACATAGGTCAGAAGTATAAATTCATGGAAACCAGAAACTGCAAAAAAGACACGAGATCATCACTGGGGAAGACACACTGGGACCTCAAAGGTCCTGGTACTGCTCCACTGGAAAGCTGGTAGGATTCACTCATTCATTTCTATAATAATTCATTATAGAATTATTCCCTGACATGTACGTGATATATATAATGGATGCCATTTTGCATAATAAAAAAAGATCACGCACAGACTATTGACAGTGGTTTTTTTTTCTCCTTGTCTTGTGCACTTTTGCTCATTCACCTGGATTTTCCCTTTTTCTCACTAGTCACAAACTCACCCTTCCATGGTTTTCTTGCCAGCACGGAGCCCAGGGGTCAAGGAGGGAAACTACTGGAATGGGACATGACTGACCTTCAAGCCAACAGAGCGGCTTCAGCAGAGGGCATCCGAGCCTTCCTCTCATTTCATCTGTTTCATTTGGTTTTAGCACATCTTTTTCTTCCCTTAATGACAAAGGCCTTCTTTTGGCCATTAAATGCCATCTCAATGCTAAAATGCATCTCAGCTGTGTTTACCCAGCATCTTCCATGGGCAGCCTTTCCACTGGTGGCAGAAGGGCCAGAGAAGGGATTCATTTTAAAATGGCATAGGAGGGGCGCCTGGGTGGCTCAGATGGTTAACCATCTGCCTTCCGCTCAGGTTATGATCTCCAGGTCCTGGGCTCGAGGCCCATGTTGGGCTCCCTGCTCAGCAGGGAGTTTGCTTCTCCCTCTCTCTCTCCTCCTGCTTTTGTTCTCTCTCACTCTCTCTCTATCTCTCTGTCTCAAATGAATAAATAAAAATCTTAAAAAAAAATAAAATGGCATAGGAATTAAGACTAGGAATGCATACTGAAGGACACCATGAACACAAAGGGAATGATGGTTCCTAGGGCAATTTTTTTTTCCCTTTCTGGGGCATTATTTCTTCCATTATGAAAGGCACCCACTTAGCAGCCCCCAAAAAGATCATTCTTCACAGTGCGATGTGACAACTATGAATTATATATTTTGTGGTCCATGTGCTCCCATTTTCCCCCCAATTGAATCTGCCAGAAAGGTTCAACAAAGCAGCAAAAATTTTCACTGGCATTTTAATGTGCTCACTTAGCAGGCCCCTGAAACT